GGTACATAGAGTTAACTGGGTTCATTGAAATGTCTGCATGCCTCGCTGCTAATGAATCTGTACTCTGATCTCAAAGTCTGATAATGCACCATGAGGTTCTCTAAGACGCGGACGGAACGCTCTGGGGGGTCAAACGGCTCCGTGTGTACGCCCTATACAGCACGCCATATCCCCACCTCTCCTGCTCACCCCCGTGGAAGTGAGCAGGAGAGGGGGAGGAAAAGAGAGGCTCCATGTATTATTATTATATTATTATATAGAGTCGTTATTAATTTGTTTTAAAGCTCAATAAATAACAAAGAAGACCTTTAACCGGCACTTTTCAAATTTTGTCCGGAAGATTTCAACTTTAACGGACATGTTGACCGGCGGAAAAAAATTCTAACGGTAACTCTGCCGCACGGTTCCCTCGACTTTTTTGATATCGAATTCGGTTCCTTTTTCGTTTGCGTTCCCGTGTAAATGGGGCCTAATACATTTCCCCATTTTCCCTTAAGATAATTGACAATCTGTTTCTACAATTTCACAGAAGAGGGGTTTGCAAGAATATTAGGCAATGCCACTAGCAAGCGTAGCTAGTGTAGCAAGGCCTTGAAACGCTTTTTTCTGTCTAAATGCACTGGTGGATGTAACGTTTGAAAAAGAATGCACGAAAATGTTTTACCTGCACGTTCAGAAAAAATGTTATACACCATTTGGTATATTTGTCCTTCTTTCTCAATACTAATTCCAGGGCCAGAACCAAGGACATCTGTCATTGACTGCTGCAAAACCAAATTAACCTCCAATTTGTAATGCTCATATTCAGGGTCAGTCTGAGGAGGACTCCAATGAACATTGCAGCAAAGCTATTAAGGTTTCTATGGCACAGTGGACTAGTGCGTTGGTGTTGGGATCAGGGGAGCACAGGTTCAAACCCCACTGCAGTCAGCATGTCGTTGTGTCCCTGGGCAAGACACTTCACCCCAAATTGCTCCTGTGGTGATTGTCCACAGTATTGAGTATGAAAGTCGCTTTGGATAAAAGCGTCTAACAAGTAATGTAATGAGAAGCAAATGTAAAAGTCCTGTAGGTGGAGTGACACAGCTTGAACAACTGAGTCTATCTTTGATTCATGGATGTTTGCCAGTCAAGTCGAGTTAATAATAGCTGACTCATAATGTTGCTTCAAGGGGTTTTACAATCTATACAACAAAAAAGGCAGAAGAAAAATAATGTCACCAACTCAAATAGGATTGGTCAACTGCGTCTACAACTGGTGGAGACAGCCATACCTATTTGAAAACAAATATGAGATGTGGGCAACTGTTCAGAGGGGGAATCATACCAAGGTCTATTAAAAGCCTAATTTAGCATGATTTATCCGTTTGTCATACCATTGAAGTGATACTGCAGACAACTTGGCTCTTTGACGTCTGATGACAGGTATTGCAAAGTTTAGGAGCATCCTACAGAAAAACTGTATTGTACTTTTCCCCATTGACGTGGCATGATTGAATCAAACCCAGCAGCCCTCTTCCTTCCATCCCCATGGAAATTGATGAATTGAAGTCTGCATGTAATTGGATGCAATCACGTCTCCCCCTCTTGCATTCTAATGAGATCTTAATGGGTCTTTGATTAGAAAAAAGGTACGAAAACAGCTGTCAAGGCTGTCCAGGAAATGATGGATCATCCAGGAGACTCTGGTGTCCATTAAGGTCTATTCTGGGCCAAATAACTGGTAGATGAGAAGATGAGATGAAAGCTTCGTAATATATTTAGTTTCCGATGAGACAATCCCCAGTAGAACAATGATCGCTTCTGTCTTGAAACTGACAGATGGCTGTACACTGAACACTGAGTCCAGTCTCAGTTTGCCGATATGATGTAGGAAGTCAAATATTTATTACGTACATAAAGAATGCAACATGTCGGGAAAATATAAGACATGGGGTGTTTCTCAATTGCGTGTAAAGCTGCTGCAGAGCCACTATTTCAAGCATACTACGTCGACATCGAGTGCCGCAGAATGACTGTTCCAATCTCCTGCATACTTGGAAATCTACCGAGCCCGGCGTACTTCGTTAGGAGAAATTTCGAGGCTGCACATGTGTAGACTCCGCGGTCTTAAAATCCCCACAATGCTTTGCGCACGGACCAATTTCCCCAAAGGCGGGCCTCTCCCTCTCATACAACACACACCTGCACACTTGCTAGCCTGTTCCACTCTTTGTTTTCCGAATGCCAGGAAGTATTCTTGCCTCGCTTCTGAAGCAAGATGCTTGGCAGACATGTGCTACCAAGCAAGCGTACTCGCGATTGAGAAATACCCATGTACTAGGTTCCTAAAAAAGGTATAACAAATCGAAATGTATTAAGAAAATGTTACACAAATTATTATCAAAACGAACAAAGAACATCCCTTTATACCCTGGCCTTTGGCTCATGTCATGCCATATTTACTGTAAACATGAGCTGCAAACTGAGAAGGAAAAACAAATGAACACTAGCCTTCCCTCAAGGGATTGTCTTCGCTATGAGAGTTCAGACTTTATATTACAACTTTTTGTAAATAGACACATTTCCCAGCAAAGACTCCATTATACTAATAGATGTCAGCAGTTGAAGGCAATACAAATCTGAATTACATTACGAGTAATACAATCAGCTCCATACAAAGTTGCTTTACAGGCCTTTTGTAGTTGGTTTTTAAAAGCCATAAATAAAATATTTGAGATGTGGGCTCTCCAACAAGCTTTATGTCAATCGCTTAGAGCTGTTCCACCATCCTCCACTTCCTTTTTCTAGTTTCCTGTAAAGTGACGTGAACGAGGCATCAAATACAACCAGCATAAGACAGTGATCTCTCCACAGCGACCCATACATTAAGGATAAGATATCACTGGCATCTGTGAGCTGCAGATAAAATGCAAGAACATCCAACAGGGAATACATGTTTGCCACACATTCCCTCTGACTCTGTGCTTTTATTTATAATTTATGTAAGTAAAAGCACAAAGCATAAATTGTGAATAAGCATTAAAGATTAATAAAAACATGTTTAGTCTTTGTGTGTGCTGCAAATATTCCTTGTTGGCTTGCCATACATGTTTCACCTGGTACATTTTTAATTTAATTAAGGATGTTGTGCTTTAGGTGCTCTGGGAAAGTGCAACTAAAACAATTTGCATAAGTGGTTTAAATAAATCCGGCCCATTTGCACTGGTTGAGTTTTTAGGGCAGTACTTCAGAGACTTCTCAGTGAAAGTGTTAAAGATGTCCCATAAAACACAGTGGCGTCTCCACTTAACACAGAAATAGAAGACAACACTGACATGAGATGTTCCTGATGGACCTGGAAGCCGAGGAGCCTTATAAAAGATAAGCAACTAATAAAAGGGTCGCCCTCAGCTGCTTTGTCCCTGTTGTTATTCTTAGTCTGACAGTCACTGGGGATGTATGATGAGAAGAGAAGGCCTGGCAGCCGTAGCTTGTATTGTGTACTGATGTTTCAGAGGCAGGTGTAGCCTCGAAAAGCTTAAAAATAGCTCTCCCATCCCTCCATACAATGCTATGTGAAGCCCCCGTCAGTCACACATATACAAACAAACCCATACAACCATGACAACATTATAATTGTGTGGGCTTCCTTCAAAGTATTAGTATTGTATAAGAATAAGAAAGAAAAAAACGTTATACATCATACAGCCAGAACAGGTGTTTATAATAACTCCACAAAGTTTTGTTTGCAGAGCAAGTTAAAGAAAAACTTTCTAGAAGCACTGCGGATATCTTCAACTTCAGTTCTAACAAACCCAGAGTGTGCTGTTTAAAGAGACAGATCAGTGGACAAGTTCCAGGAACTGTTCAAAGATCACAGTAAAGGAGATGCAAGAAAGAAGAGAATACAAAAAGAAAAGGGGGCAAAAGTGCAATTTAAAGTTCAAGTCAAATCAAGAACAACAACAACAACTAAGGATACCTCAACGGTGCACCGAGAAACACCTTCAGCCCAGGCACTGTAATTAAGCTGCACAGTACACAATATGCCGTGTAAATATAGCCTTTTATATTATCCTGCCTGCATTTGTTGCTCAGCAATACACGCTAAGTAGACAGCTAGGGCGGATGGAAATGTCAGTTTGGTTAGAAAGTGACAAATCCAATTTTAACCCATTGATGGTATGAATTGAAAAGACTGAGGATAACCAAAGCAAGAGGGTTTTAGTCTCAAAATATACACAATCGCATGCCAATCCATGCAACAATTATTGACATATTTAATTCTGGACCAGAAGACCAGAGAATCCTCCCATAAATGAAGTTGAAAAAAATAAGAAGTAACATCTAAAATATGTTTATGCCAAAGAAAATGGCAGACAGATTTGAGCGATACAGGAAATACATTATAAGTGATAGAGCAGTGGAGATAAAGGCATAAAGACAGAAGTAGATTGTTGTATTATATAAGGATGGAAGCTGGATACAGTGTTCGAGGCAGGATGCAGTTCATTTAAGTTGCTCGGTGGCGCATGAAGCCCACATCTTGTTCCTTCTTCTATGTTTCCATTTCTCTCTTTCCTTCTCCCTCTCTCTCCACCTGCTTGACATTTCCAAGCCTTTCATTTCGTATTCTTTGTACCCAGGTGGGATAGTGCTGCCAGAGCCGAGATAAATATATATATTTCTATAAGTGACATTTATTGAGAAGACATTCGTAGTTCCTCCACCAGTTGTTCTCCTGAGGCTGTTCCAGCTGTATCTTCCAGCTATTCAGGTCATTCTTTCCAGCCTCTCTTATTGTAAAGGGAGCTGTGGTGTCATCGCCAAACCGCTTGTCCTCGGAGCCGTCTGTAAATCGACGTGGGGGACGCTAATGATCTGTGTTTATGTGCCTGTGGTGGTTTTGTTAGGATTGACTGTGTTGTAAAGTCATGTGTGCAGAGTGGGCAGGGGGGTTGGGGGGTGTCATTGGTCTATATTTACCAACTTAAGAATGAGAGAGCATTGTGTTGTCGGCATTCTTGGCACTGAAGGACACTTTGTGTTCAGGGTCACCCTCAGCGCTTCATCGGGAGAGGCATAGAGACAGGAGAGAGTGAGGTAGCAGACAGTACATCCTGAGAGGTGAGACAGCACGACTGAAGAGGATCTTCAAGGAGAGAGACAGACAGGCAGACAGAAAAGGAAGTGGGATATATCCGTCCTACAGATTTGCACCCAGAGGACTTCACCTGTTTCTTTAAAGAAAGCGTGAGTGGGATTTCCTTTTCTCAGCCTTCATCTCGATCTAGCACAAATGGTACTCAGATGTTTCTGCCTTTCATATATGTTTAGACAGATTACTGTTCTGACACAATACAGTAATGCGCTATAAAATATAAAACCACAACGTTAAATATGAGGATAATGCCTCCAGTACATCTGCATCATGCTGTTAATTATTCCCTTTTCTTTGTATTGTCAGAAGACATTATATTTATTATAGTTTCTTCTGAATCTTTGATTGTTTCTCCAGCTACCTGTTCTCCTTAATGGTCTCGTCTTTTAATGGCCGTAGTGGATGTAGCTTTTAATTACTCTCTAGGGGTGGCATATAAAGCTCCTATCATGTTCACACGACGCCTTCCTCTTCAGAGTGTATAATAGTAAATAATTTCCTCCTCTGTTGATACAGTTTTTTATTTTATTATCAGAGATCTGGAAACTCAATTCCCTCCAGAGACTGAAAGCTGCACCATGTGTGGAAAAGAGCACTGCTTTGCTTTTGCTCCCTCCGGGGGCCCGAGATCCAGGCCTACACATGGAGACTGATCAATTTTAATGTGCCAGAGGTCGACCTTCCATTAAAAGTGTTCAAACAAACATCTCTCCTTGCACTACAGTGAACCACAAGAATAAGCAACAGGGGAATCAGCTGGCACATTAGCCTTTTAGCTTGTGAGCTAGCTCGCTTCTGTTTTTTTAGAGAAGCAATTGAGGGAAATGAGAAGAAATAACACATTATGCTTGTTTGTAGCAATAACACAGGTGCTAGTGGGAGTGGGTGAATGAAGCTATCATTCAGCAGCGACCCGATTCTGTTTGTTGGGCGTTCTGTGATTAATGACGGGCAGTGAGAGGGCAGCCGCATGGCGGACCTCAGCTGATGAATTATTAGTGGCTCAGCAGCCCGCAAAGGTTTGATTCATGTAACGTGGGAATAAAACACGACTTTTATTCCACAAACCATACTCTACTCCTTTCAAAACCGTTTTTTGTAAAGAAAAACCTTCTGGTCATTAAACTTTTCTGTTTACAATAAACCATATAAAAAGATGAGTTGTTTTTAAAGTTGAGATGATAAATCATTGAATTTCAAAAGACTAAAATGGTTTGCTATTTTCTACAGTCTCTTGTAATGCACAGGCCTTGAAAGACAAAAACAAGGCTTGTGCAGAAAGATTGGACTACATGTTCCATTATTTTCTGACATTTTATCGGCCAAAACATAAACAAACAAATCTAGGCGATAATCTGCAGAAGAAAATCAATAATGAAAATAACTATAGGTTGCCACCCTTGTCATTTCCAAAGTTCAGTGTTTTCTCAATTGTTTTCAACAATAGCTTCATATCTAAAGGCTAGGTCTGAGTATTGAATTTCAGATAATGTCCCTCTCCAAGGTGAATTAAAGAGACATTTTAAATGGAAACACACTTATGATGGATGTGTTTGATGCTCCAAATGAAAGTCAGGAGGGTGTTGCCGTTTGATGAATTATTCTTTTGATGCAGGTTGTAATTGCAGCACATATTGATTCAGAAACAGGTGCCATTTGGGGGGTTACTATGGAAACCAGGACGGTGATGCAGCGTGAGCGGGAGGAGCAGTCGTCCATGATGTCTCAGAGCATGCAACTGTCCTCCCAGATCCAGAAGAAGACCTTCACCTCCAGGTACAAACATGCCGGTCATGACTTCAGTAGTGGCAGAGGTTTTCAAATGATTTACTGAAGTGATACAGCCAAAATACTCTTCATAACATATTCTCATATATATTGTGTCTCTCTACTGTGATATCTTTACATGTTTTAATGTTCAAAAAGGTCTTTATTTTGTCACCCTCTGTCTGAAACCAGAGCCCAGTCTGCTCTGATTTAGCTAGCTGGTTCTGTTGTGATTGGTCAACGACTTAGAGATGTCACGCCCCTTAGCGCATCACGTACTATGTTCTGGAGCACCAGCCAAAAGAAGCAACGGTTTTAGTGATGTCACTTTGTTAAGGAAGTAAACAAAGGAGTCAAATTGAGGCGCTCAGTCCCTTACCTTTGGAACAAAACCGTTTCAGTATTTTCTGACTAAAAAGAAGAAGTATAATCAGTTCTTTTTGGTATGGGCTTGTGGCGTTTCACCTGTAACGTTACAACAATAATGTTTATCATGACTCATATTTAGCCTTTAACTCTGATGTAATTAAAGCAAAACATTCTAGTGCAGAATCTCCGTTCAAGAATATTTTAGAAATGAGTTTCTTGAAATGAGGCAAAGTTAGGAGAAATCACTGCATGCATATCGTGTAAAATCGCACTTATGGCTCTACAATTCATTAAAAAAGGCAGATTTATTAACCAAGTAAAGAAATCTCACCCTCATATGCAGATTTATTGATTTGAAAAACACTACGATGTAGGATTAATGGATTAATTGACATGTTGAGAAAGAGATTTGCAAATGAACGTACATTTCAGAAATAGCTAAGAACATGTATCAGAAAAATAACTCCACGATTTAGGTTTCTTCCCTAAATGTATACTTTTATAAATTATAAAGTAAGTACATTGTATTTGTGGTATGTTGCTCAAGGTTGTCCAGATAGATCACAGCTACGTTTTTCTTTGTTGTTGAAGGTTGAACAAAGCAGGCGATTTATTAAAGAGGAACATATGGCAGGCTGGTTATTCTGAGCCCAATGAGACATTGCATCCACTCAAGTATACCCTGTGGGCCACTGGCGCTAGCTGTTAGCACAACATATTCCCATAAACAGCATTCACAGACATAAACACAGTCTGTCTCTGGTTGGGGATAAATGGACACTTCCTGATTTACTGCCTTGAGCAAACACTTCTAATGTTTATTGATATTTCTTTAATGTTATGTGTCTCTCTGCAAAGGTTAATCTGGTATTACAGTCTACAACTTGTCTGCATGTTTTAGGAGTGAAGATACATATACTAATATAGCGTGGAGCAGGCCACTAAAATAAACAACTTTTCGTACAGTTGCAGTTGCATTTCAGTGACTTTGTTTATAGTGGTGTTATTGTAAGGATATCAGCTCAAGTTACACATTGGAGTCGTTCCCTCAACCCGTGAGTTGAAAGACAAATATGAACAGCAGCGAGTTGAACTGCAAACATTTTGGAAACACAATAAAACAATGAGGTGGCAGAATAATAAAACAAACAGGCAGCAACTCACATTTAATGTAATAAATGAACTGTCTTTGTCCTGGAGGGACTTCCGAGAAGTGAGGATCAAAGTGACTTCCTGACCTTCGAAAGAGCAGTTGACAAAACTTTCTCCTTTAATTTGAAACAACTGCAGACCAGTCAAAGTCAACTTTATTGTCAATCTCAAAATATGTTTGTACACACAGAAAGATCGAAATTCCCACAGTCCTGAGGTATAAAATAACACATTAAAATACAAGAACACTCAATAATTACAAAAAAAACACGAAATAACCTTTTACTTCAAGTGAGCAGGATATATATATATTTAAAAAAAGGTGATGTACATAGTGCAAATGAGTGCAAAAATGTCCATAGCAGCGTAAAAGTGACTGGTGCTGGATTGTTGTGTGTTAAAGTCCCGGTCCAGTGGGGGCAGGGTGGAGAGGTGAGATAGAGACTAGACTAGACGTTAAGGTGCTCCATAAAATTGGAAATTCTCATTTCTATGACAATTGGTCTGCTTATGAGGATTATGTGGTATTATTGAAAGCTCCAGGACAGATACTAAATGAACCTTGGGATTAGTTATATGTATTTTAAGCAATACCACAGCCAACTAAATTATACAATGACAATATCTGTGTCCCTTTTTACCTCTGTATACACTAACTCACATATAGTACACCTTGTTAGCTTGCACTATGGAAGAAGACATGAAAAGACCATTAAAATAAAACATCTCACAGCAGGCCCATCGGTGCTCCAGGATGATTCAAACTTAATCTAATATGAATCTCTTCTGGACCTGCCCTCCTGCCCTAAGAGCCTCAAGTCAAATATATTTTCAAAGGGCCCCCTGCTGCAGTGAGTTATTATATTTGGCTAACCTGCGGATCTTTCGTCTTTACTGGAGAACAAAGGGTATTAGACCAATTTCTCTCATTAGGTATGATGAGAATAGGCAATTATTCCCATCAGACTTAGCTTTAGCATCGAGAGAAAGCGAAAGAAGAGATTCAATGTGTACTCAGAACATCCATCATCGGGAGGGCAAATTTGGGAGGGACACATTTATCGACAGAAGAAAATAATCCTGTTGTTTATCAAGAAAAACAGTTTAGCCAGGAGTTTGTTTTGTTGTACTTTGTACAATCCGTATAGGACTGTTGTTAGTAGAAGGTGTTGACGTGTATACAACAACAAGGGCACAGTATCCAGTTCCTCTCAGATGTTTTCCTCTTTTTTCTTTTTCTAGTAATACCAAGTTAATCTATTGAGGAAGCCTGTTGTTTATAACACATAAAAACACAACTTCCACTGTCCTTCTCACAGCAGCATTATCACTGTTCGTTTGAGTGCATGGCTGTTCCTGTTTAAAGGCATACCATGTCCCAGTGTGGGCTGTACTTGTACGACACTGCCCAGCTGTAGGCTCTGTTGTTTATTATTCAACGCCCAGAGCCACTCAACAACATTAAAGGGAACTTGCATTTAAAAAAAGGGAAAAATAAGAAGGAAAAAGCAGAAGTTGTCCTCTGTAAAGCGTGAAATGGGGAAATATCCCTTGCTACCAAACAAAATAAAATGAGAAGTCATTTAAATTTGCATTGCCATTGGCAGGATGGCTTGTGGAAAGTAATGCCTGAGGCTAGAAGCTGGCAGCAACGGTGGTTGGGGGTTGTGTACACACCTGGGTAAATATACAGTTCTGGCACATAGTCTTGAAACTTGTATTTCTGTATTCATACTTTTAACTGTACATGTCATTTGTTTCAACGTGAGGCCATGGCATGCTAGTTAGCAAGTTAAAATATCCTCTCACTGTGTAATTCATCTTTAAAAGAGCAACCGTCATTCGAGGATTAAGGCAGAGCAGAAGTGAATGCCTCTCTTGTTACAAAAATGCCTTTCATGGCCTCAAGTGACCTTGTCGCTAACAACAATTGCCCCTCTCCTGCACATAGATGAAGTCAGCTCAGTCTGATTGTGGGCACTTTAAATTGAGAGCTCATGCTGCAGTGTGGGGTCATTTAAGTGTGCCTACGGTAGAGTGTGTGTATATTATGTGATTGTCTGCATGACTATGGTGAAGAGACTAATTTAGGCGTCGTAAAGAAAGAGACAGCAGCTGTCAGTGCTTTTGATTTAGAATCACTCTCCTGCATGTGTCCAGTGACGGCTCTATGTCTGGTTCATCATGTCTAAGTGCATCAACTGGAACACACCCAGCTCTACCACCAGTTGGCACGGACACATTGTGGATTAAATACTGAACATTGCATGCTGTAATGCCGCACTAATTAAAATTGCCATCGTACCATGAACGACCTACTGGGTCACGTCCAAAACCCCTTTGGCTCATAAACAGCACATTGTCATCATTTATCTGCGTGGGCCCATCAGCAGGCCCTGTTCCCCCTGAGTATATAAGCTCTCTGTAGACAATAGCATGTGTGTTTGTATACCAGAGAGTAAAATGGGAACACTGACAGAGGAGAAGCAGCTGATGATGGTCCAAACATTTATTGCACTTGAGAGAAAACAGGTCACCACTACCCTGCAGTATTTTATCTGCTGCTTTGCTTGGGTAAATACAAAAATTTAAGAAAACATTGCACCATGTATTCCTGATGGAAAACAATCTGAAAAGACAACACAGAGAGTTATGATCAGCAGACATGTGACACTAAAACTTTAGCCCGCACTGCCAGTGTAACTGACGTCTTCTTAAATGTTATCGGTGTCGAGAAAAGATGGTTGAAATTACAATACATTCACATCTGAATCTGTAAATTCTGTTGTAATGTTTGAGAAAACGTTGTTTATACTGTGTGTAGAGGAAACTTCTGTGTAGCTATGCAGTGGGAGTCACCGACTCAGGAAGGAGACACGGTAGGAGCAGTAGCTTTGATGTCAAACACATGATGGTTTATTTGGAGTTACGGCCGGAGGATTCACATCACAAGTCCAAGAGTCAGAGGTTCTGACTTCACGGTAGAGTTGCCACGTCAATTCTGAAGAACTCTACCCCAGACCCATGTATTTAGCTAGTTCAGAGAGCATCATCAACATGCTGCATAACAAGATAGAATGATAACACCTCTATCAGCTGACGCCAACAGGCAGGAACAGGGAGACAGAACACTGAGAGCACAGCAGCCAAGGTTACAGGTGCCTGTGCTCAGTCAGGACAGTTTGAACTGATAAACTGGGTCAAAGTTATGAGCCTTGGAAAATATTCCACAACACTGAGCAGTAACAAATCTGCTATGCCTCACCATGAACCACGCTGGCTGGCTTTCCCCTGAGCCGCGAAGATTGACACAAGGGCGACAAACAATATTGACATCGCACTTTAAAGTGGGGTCTGTCTTTTATGGATTCTCACTTCTTTGCAGTTTGATTTTGGTCTGCTAATGTTTACCTTGCTAGTACTTCAAAACAAGAAGAGAGGATACACAATATCCATTAAAGCTGTTTTTCAGTCTAGAGATAAGATAGCAGTTGCTAATTTTAAACTGAATCCCTGGAGTGCTTGAATAAATGATAGCTTGTGTATATAATGTTTGCCTACATTAACCGGAGCTCTGTGTGATGTACAGCCACCTCTGCTGCTCACACTGAGAATAGGAGAATCGCTGCTGCTTTCTAGTGGCAGAGGAGGATAACAGGCTGATGAATTTGAGATTGGATAATAAACCAAGACAAAATGAATATGCATGCTAATGTGAACACTCAATCCTTCCATCAGCAGAAACAATAACTGTGAAGGATGACAAGAGGGAATATCAATGTTTTAATCTTTCACCTGTGTAATTTGATGATATGCAAGATGTTGAATCCGGCTTTGTTTTATTTTCTCAACAGTGATGAGGACGCCTCCTACTCTGATTTCTATCCCATCATCCCCGCTGACCTGATGTCCGTCAAGGAGCTCCTGGACATGGACAACCTCCCCCGCCACAGGACATGGTGAGAAATATGATCCAGCAGAATATATTGGCTCGTGTTTTTCCTCGTTTAAGATTTGCTCTGATGATATGGATCAAAGCCTCTACTGTGGTGGATGTAATTACATACATTACAATATTAATATAGAGTTTGATGGAATAGATATTCTGGAAAATCAATTAAGAAATTGTTCATGGGTGAAATCATAATCAGCCATGAGTCTCTTGAGCATCTCAGTGTTGCATTAATCTTACAAATGTTGCATTACAACTTGGCCTTATACACCATGAGTAGTTAAAGGGGCAGACCAACATATTTTATGTATATTTTGTCTCACAGTATCAGCCATCTTTAACAAAAGTAATAGTTTAGTATTTAATAAATACAACTGGGATGCTTTTTTTAAACGTCTAATAGCCAAATCAATGCATGAGGCATATTACGGCAGCCGCAGATTGATTGAAAGTAAATAATAAATATAAGTTGCAGCTACATCTAATGGCCACCATCTGCGTCTCTCATTCTGGGCACATTCATTTTATTCCTCATTTTAGTTTGTAATCTGTTGTGGGCGCACAATGGGCGACAACTGCGGATGAGTCTCATTTTGTTATGCTGAACATAAAGGACTTTAAGCATGGCTCCACTTTTCTCAAGAGGACTTCCTTCCTGGATAATGTGTAGTATAACTCTGCCTCTCCATCAGTAGTCAACATCACATCCTCTCTCTCCACTTTACTTGAGAAAGTGGAGTGGGTCAGATTTCACTGGTGCTTTGCCCTGCAAGCCATTGACAGCACATGCGTTCCTTTGCCTTCAGAGAGTCTTGATAAACAGTTGAAATCAGAAGCATTTCTTCACTCATCCCCGCCTGTAAAAGGCCAGCTGGGGACGTCTCCTATCATTCGCTGTCTCACGGGTGTCTTGAAGCCAATAAGCCATAACCATTGAGTCCTACTGGGGGAGCTTTTGTATTGTCTTTAATGGAAAAGAGAAAAGAGCCACACATCCGATTAAATAAAAGATTATTATGCATGGATAAATAGAATATCTTTGTTTTTGTTTGTGTTGGCCAGTGAATGAAAAAGGTAGTTTGAAGACATTATTGACTGTAGTTTTACTTAAACATTTTTTTAACAGACCACTTGTATAAAAAAAATTATCAAGAAAGTAGTTCACTAATGACATATATGTAAGATGCAGCCCCAGGATTAAATTGCTAAAACAGTCAACTCGATTGAACTCTCAAAATAATAATAAATAATATATTGGAAATATAAATCAGATGTTTTTACCCACAGAGGTAACAGGCCAGCTGAAAAATGAACCAACCAAATCTGCATGTGGCTCGTAGCTGGACTTAAATTTGCTGCCAACTACAGAAAGTCTTTAACTTATTAGTGAACCAGAATCTGAGAGGATTTTGTTGACAACTCGCATTAGCCATCTTTAATTTTTTAGGGTTTCTTATGGTCATGTTGTGAGGACAGGATTACCGCTCAGTTGTCATGGGGGGGATTTCATATATCTAAAAATAAGTCCCAGAAAAGTGAGGTTTAGGTCACTGAGAACAGGAAATGAGGGGATTTTTGCCTCCTGTGACACAATCCTTTTTCTAGGAGCACCTTGTCCTGTCCGGGTCACGTAGTCTATCGGTGTTGGGACTCAGCAGCACCTTGACATTTGGGGGCTTAATGGTAGCCTCTTTCCTGTTCTCTAATCCGTTCGGAAATAGATTCAACTCTCAAAAGAGATTTGACATCTCTGATGTAGACTGTGTCATCTACGCTAAAGAAAAATAGATATATTTTTCTTGAAGCCTTAAAATTATTCTTTGGCTGGCAAGAGTAAATAGAGGGCCAGACAGAGGTCACAATGTATTAAAGGAGAAGAAGTTGCCAAGGAGGGAGAAGGCAGGAAGTTATTGAGGGAGCAATCCTCTTGAAAGACAAAAACACATCTGACAGTGATGAGCCACAGCTGTGGCGAAGTGGACCTGCCAATTCTGCATCTTATTAGGTGCCATCTTCCATGCCAACACCACAACCCTCCATCTCATCATTCCACTTGTGTCACCTTCAGATTGGTCATACCTCTTTAACTACAACAAGGACGATTACCTCTGAAGTGCAATTTCTCCATCAATTCTTCACAAATCTTATCCCACTCAGAGACAAACATTGTGTGGATGGATATTTTAGACCGGAGGCTGGAGATGTAGTAATGCTCGACATGATTGACTCCTCCCAGGATAAGAGCGGAAAGACGGAAGGAAGAAGCTCTCGTGGATTGGCACACTGGAAAGGCCTGAGTGTTGGAAGATGGTGGAGCATGACATTTTGTTTTGATTTGTGTGGAAATGAATGCGCTAGATCTTTCTGTGTTGGCAAGTGGGGCTCCAATCGCACATTACTATATGACTCACATAATGGTTTCTCTTCTATCATCTCCTTGAGGTAAGGGGGTAACATGTAAATTAAGCAGCTGACTCATGCGTGCCTATTTTGTCTTGGCAGGAGATTTTTTGCTGTTGTTCGCACCAATACGCAATATTACAATTTCCATTTGGAGCAATAATTAAACCATAAAACCCTCTCATACCCACTGACTTGATGTGTTCCAGCAGTTCATTCCCCCAAGACTTAAAATCTCTGAGCCCACAGAGATTAAAAATACTGACAGGCACACACTTTACTAAATGAGCCCGTGGCAGAAAAAGTCAAAATCATGTTTCTGAGCCCCCGAGAGTGTGAGTGTGTGTGGGTTAGCACTTGTCTGCATATGCATCTAAGCATGCATGCACATATTAATTTGCATATTTATTCATGCCCTTTGTGCACCGTTGAATTACTGCAAGCATTTGTAGGGCCATTCATGCTTTAGTGGCCCTCGAAGCTCAGAGCGTGTGAATATTTAAGATTCTCTCTCTCCGTTTGTTGTGGCAATGTGTGTGTGAAGTACATGTTCAAATAATTAAGCCCTGGGGAATGTCAACCAAAAGATGCTTTGGGATACGCACCCCTCAGGCAAAGAGAGAGCAAGGAGTATTAAAACGTTGCATTTAAAAAGGCAGACCAAATTCATAATTGTGTGTGTTGAGTGCGCATACACTTCATGCATATGGATAAACTGTTGCGTGTACACCAGAGAATGTGCGATGCCATGTACATGTGGATATATATTCACAGCTACAACATACAAGGCAAGTTTATTTATACTGTATAGCACCTTTCAACACAAGGCAATTCAAGGTACTTTACAAAAATGAAAGACATTCAGACAAAGGCATTTAAAAACAGTAAAAGATAATAAAAGAAACATTAAAAAAAGTCTTCAGCCTAGATTTAAAAGTAGTACAACACACATGTGTATATATTATAGACTACCAGAGGGCCTTCTGCTTCTGTTTGACAGCCTTCTCATTCAGCTCAGAGCACAGCTTCAACAGCAGTAGAGCTGTTTTGCCTAACAATCCCATTCAAATAAAAATCACGCCTTAAACCACAGTCCAGAGTTATGACAAATGCCACCTTGCTATCAATGCAAAGGATGACTACCTTAGTTTCTACTGCGTGAATAGACTATCATCATGTGTCACGCCCTGGCTCAAGGACGGACAAAGGAAGGAGACCACACATGATTCATCCAATTGAAGTGCATTTATTAAAAGAAACTAAATTAACTATGAAGTCAGTTAATCAGTAATGTGTGTAGTGTGTGGGTGTGTGAACATGCATCAGTATATAAAGACAGAACAAACCACCCAAGGTCCAGTAGAGCCAAGCAACCCAAGAGGAGAGAGAGACTGACTGCTCAGGCACCCATACTTGTAGCTGAGCAGTCAACCCAAATCAGGTGTCAGCAATCTCTCCTGATTTGGGGGAGTGGCTAACCAGGGACCTGAGTCTCAGGCCTAGGGGCCGTCACATCATGTCACCAACTTGATGAAAGAGAATGTCAAGGATGTGACACATGTGGCGACACAGCAGAAATGTTAACTGTCCACATCTGAGGGAATCCTGGAGAGGCACACATCACTTTTAGAGTACCAGTCGCACGCCTCTTCACAGTGATGTGAATCAGCAGTGGCAGCAGGGCTTCATATTCCACTCTAACTTTCCAACTTTGAGACGTGTGTCAGGATGGTGCTCATGTGAAATGACACGTAGGCTTAAATGGAGCAGCAAACAACCCCCCTCCTCATCACTGAGCCTTCTAATACAGACTGCCAAATATCATAAAACTAGCATTTGTCTGCAAATGGACTGAGACGGGAAAAAAAGGTTTCCATGACAAAATAAATCAATGTTAAATTGCTGTTTTGTTTTTCTCAGTGGTCGATCCAGGTTCTTTTAAAACCTTGTTCAATAATTTGTCTGAATTGCTGTCTCCACTCTTGTCACCTCGTCTAATGGAGGTCTGAATTATTTGGACAGCCTTATTTTTAACTGAAGCTAATTACTTCACGTCAAGATGTGGTGTAACATGTTGTGCACCTGAAAATAAAAATGTCCACCAAATGTGAATTTGTAGTTTGAATTTTGTTGTGTTAGCATCAAGTCTGGAACAATCTATGAGTTCTGCTTGCACTAAACAGAAAATAAATAGTCCTGAGTATATATATATCGTCCCGTGTTCCACCAGGGAAATCCTGAAGGAAACTCTGGCTGCTAATAAGGGGTATCGGAGAGATGAGTGGACCATGTTTGGGAACGAGGCTGAGAAGGTGGAGCTGGATGTGATCAGGAACCAGCGAGTGTTACGCAAACGCGTTGACACCATGGCACTTCGCAAGCAGGTAAAAGTCGAGTGTTGGTCTCAGGAATAACCTGTAACAAGGACTGCTTTGTACTTAGCTTTGTCAACACAATATTACCTATTCATCATGTTATTAAACCTGCTCAATTAATAAGCATTGTTTGGTTTCACTGCAGTGGAGAAGAGTATTAGCTGAGTTTATTAACATTGGTTCAGTCTGATTCTTGAGTCTGATTTGTCCCACGTGATCTAAAATGTGTTGTAAACTAATGAGGAAGAATATGCTTAAATTAACATGGTTCAAGTTTCATTTCCTATTACTAAAAGAGGAATATGTATTTAGACTTTGCCTATGAACATACAAACAGTCTCCATTTCTTTAAGACAGGCTACAGAGTGGAGAGTGGTTGAATCTAGTAGTGACCTAGTTTATTCAACTTTGATGTATCACAGATAAACAATATAATATTTGGTTAGTGGTCGGTTGATAAATATATGCAATTTTCACTTCAATAGTTCTTTTTTCTCCAGCTTCACATTATGCAAAAAGTTACTTTGTAGGTTAATGTTTTTCTCAGTCCATTTTAATAAGTTGCTAGGCATTTTAATGCTGGCTTTGGAAAATAAAGTTTACTTTAGAGTAGCAGCACATTAGGTTTCTCTCATCTGCAAAATCTTCTATTTTTTTTCCTTCTGATTCTATCTGGGCTCCAGGCACAAAACAAGGCGTCTGCCCACTTGAGGTACCTGGAGCGTCTGAGTCAGAGGGCCCCAGACTTTGCGGTCCCCCTGAGGGCCCACACTGTGTGGGAGGGCATGACCGTCACCCTGTCCTGTATCGTCCAGGGCTGCCCGCCCCCAAAGGTCACCTGGTAAGAACTTCTGTCTCTGCTGCTGTACTGGACTATATTATGTTGGCCTATGGTGATTTCCTTTCCAAGCAGTTTATATTAAAGGCTACTGCTCGGGGCGTAATGCGAACTGGTGTCATTATAATTTAGTTTCACACTTGGTTAGATACGGTTAGAGCGGAAAAAGTGACATGGCCGAAAGTAATAGCTTTCAGGGAACAACTATAAAAAATGTATAGGACTTCTTACTTTAACGTTGTATTAGATCAGTAAATCAACTAAAAAATAATTACAACTAATTCAATAGATAACCAGTCACTTCTTCATTGTAACCATTTGGTGTTGCTTGATATCATTGCAAATGTAATATATTTGGGTTTTTGACTATTGATGGAAAAGCTTAGGTTAAACACCTGCAAGTTATCAATATAAAGTGTAAAACTCAAAGTCTATGAGTTGCTTGCATAATTCAAAGTCATGACACTGCAATTCTGAACCCTGAATATCACCCTCTGCATTAATATGAAATCACCAGTGTTAATTCAGGCAACGAGCCAAACTGTCGAACTTGATACTCGAGCTGCTATGAGACTAGTTGATGAATAGACTGAGCGTGCCTGCCAAGTATTCATGAATCTAAGCTGAGATGTGGATAACCTGACGCTCGTGGGCTTAACCATCCCATATGGGACCTATCAAGCCCAATGAGCTGCAAAAGGCTGCCCCACACAAGACAGAATTAGAGATCAAAGGGCCCCTCTGGCTGTTATAGGTTGCAGTCGAATAGTCCAAAAATCAGCTCCTAACGTCTATCCCGATAGTCTATTCCTTGACCTCTGAGTGAAACGTCACGGGGTTAAGAGATAGTGGATAGGAGAATTCAAAAGGACTTAGGAGAAGAGACTGCGGTACTTTAGAGAATCCGACTGCACTTTCACTATCCGATGTGTTTATGATGCGCCAGCGGACGTCCTGAATGTGCGTCTGCTGCTGTGGGGAAACTATGGAAACTACAGTTTTCTATAGCGGACTACAACATGGATGTTTAATAAGAACGAGGGACTCCTGTAAACTCATCTAGAGACTCTGCACCGTGCCCTGATGCTGTTGTTTTATGCTTTATGAACGGGGACAAGAGAGAAACATATTCTTCATGACCAAAGTTGGAATTTAAATAAAAAAAGGAAAGCTCGTCACCCTCTCCCTCCGGTCCACATTAATACAAATGATCCCAATACGTATGATTGTATGAACTATGAAACGATCTTAAAATCAATACAAATGTATTTATTATAAACGTTAGTCCTTAACATCTATCACTGTGTACATCACCATTCAAACATCTTTTAAAAGTTGAACAAACCTCACAGCTCAGTAAAGACTGTGAAATGTTGACTTTATTTGATCATTTCAGTAAAAACTAACATTCATATTTCTCTTTTTGATTATAATACTGATGAACGTTCAAAACAAAGCACTTTGGCAACTTACCGTTTCAAAAAGCTTAATAAGCACCGTAACTTTCATGATATCTCGGTTTCTCGGTCATAACTGGTTGTTTCCGTGAACGGCCGAATGTTGTGTGACGGCAAATGCTGCGGCTGCAATGCATTGTGGGGCAGCATTTTCTTCTCTCCTTTCGGTTAGGGAGGTCCAGTGGTTCCTAAGCTAAAGGAGGTTATAAAGGAAGTTTGAAACCTCCTTTCCTATCATCTAGAGAATTCGAACGGAACTTTTCATGGCTGCCACTGACGTACTTCCGGGTCATTTCACTCCGTTAGGAAGGTTCCTAAGCTAAATGGATTATTCGACTTCAGCCATAGACTCAGCAAACTCACATTTGATTAGTGAAAGATGTCCATAACTAATCATTTGGTAAGATCAGAAACTATCTTAACAAAGCCCATTGTTAACTAATCCTTTGATATTCAAAAATAATACACTCTCTTAGCTATTTCTAACTTCCTACCTCAGGTTTAAGGATGGTTGGCCACTGAGGATGTCTGAGCAACCATGGAACTACAGTCTTCAGCAAAAATTTGGTGTAAACTCACTGGAGATCAGAAGGTAGGTCACTGCCTCAAATCGCTAATTAAGGATGAAAATGTCTGTGCAGAAAGCTGTAGAATGAGTATGAAGCATGGGTGAGTAAGACGAGGCATGTGTGGCTTGCGTGACCTCTCCAAATAATTAATTTAAGATTAAATTAATAATTCAAGAAACGTATGGGTAAGGTTAGGAAATGGTGGTGTTATGAGATAAAACGTGGCTGTCAAACTGAGAATTGAATGCTGGTGTAAGTCTGCTCCATAACCTGATTTCAAAGAATGAAGATAGTCAATTAGTTTGTGATTTGGTCTTAAGGCACTGCATCCTTTTTTCTTTATGTTGTCTTTGCGGGATTCATTTAACCGCCATCACAACAGACTTAAGTATGCCACAAGTGCAATACAAGCACAGATTTGTAACACCGCAGATACACTTTTATTGCAGTTTTTTCTGTTACATAAATGTCTAAATCCTTAGGTGCTCTCCTGATGATGCTGGAAAGTATAAAGTGGTGGCCAAGAGTCTCCTGGGGGAAGCGATGACATTTGGAACACTTGTTGTGAACTGTGAGTAGTTTCAGATTTCGTATCACCTCCACCCTGCTGGAAAACCCTTTTGGCTGGTACAAAGATAGGGATACAAGAGTTATCCAGAGAGGCTATACAATGGTTATGGGTCACTGAAACACAGAGGGGATATCAGTTGAATAAATCATCAAAGAAGCTTAAAAATCAAAAAGGCGCTTTCACACCAAGTACTTTTCCCAGGAATAATTCCTGGAACTTTTCCTCTGAACTTTTATTTTCTGGAACTATCTACAGTATTAAATCGCGTTCACACCTGAATAAGTCCCTGAGGGAGCTGCTGACGTCACTTCTTCTTCTTCTGCTTTGGGTTTACTGGCAGGCTGCAAACAATTTCACGGCATATACTGCCACCCGAAGTCCCCGGCCGGAAGTCCCCAGAGTTGTGGACTGGCTTCTACTGAAGCCTTCCGAGTAACGCAGCATCCACACGGCAGCTTGCGTTGAAGCTGGCCGGTGGGCGTGTCCGAAGCTCGACCAACAACCAATCACATCAATCTCCCGCCCCGTAGACACAAGCACGCGGTTTGATTGGCTAGCGCTTGTACTGGCATATGATTTGATTGGCTGACGCTTCCGTCGAAGCTTGAAAAGTTGAACTTTTCTCAACTTTCGAAGCGAGCAACGGAGGCAAAGCGCCGCGACGGAACCACAATGCAGTTCGGCAAAGCATGACGTCACCCCATTCAAAGTGAATGGGAAGCTTCAACGCACAAAGCGCGACACCTCCTCATCACTCCACCGCTCCCATGTTTTATTTTTCATAAGTTAGTCTCTCTCTGTTGGTGCGCTGGGCTAATGTTAATGCTAATAATGCTAATAATGCTAATGCGAGCAAATAAAATGGCGGCTTCACAAAAACTTTTCAGAGTTTTACAGGGCGTGGTTTGCAATTCGCCCAGCCAATCAGAAATTGGAACCTTTTTCTCCCCAGGAAAGTCCCTGCTCTCTAGCAGGGACTAAAAAGGGGTGAAAAGGTTCGCAAAAAAAAGTTCTAGTTCAAGATCTTTTTGGTGTGAACGCAAAATCCCAGGAACTATCGGAACTATTCCTGGGAAACGTACTCCGGTGTGAAAGCGCCTATTATAGCTCCCAAGGGAATTAATACAGCAGGATTTACACAATGAAGGTGTTCAATACTTGGTGCATACACACACACCATTGCCTGAAAAACATGCATTAGTCAGTATAAGTAACTTTAACAAAGATAAATAAAATGATAAGCAACCCAATAGTGTCTTTGTTGTATAGGCATGATAAACAATCATGCATAATACAGAAAACACACAATTATTGCATTATGTTGCATTTACAATATTGTTTTTCTATTCATTAAATTGTTACCTAATCAGATAAAATGTTGATGGAAAAAAAACTGGATTAAATAAACAACTCTCCAACTGTAGAATGCGATGTAACTTTTGGGCTGACTATCAGTCTTATTCTATAAATAAATAATGGTCATTGTTTAAGAACAAAATAACATGAATAACATAATATAGTGCAACTTGCATGGAAGTATAGATCTATAAATAATAGTATCCTATCCACAAATATCAAACCAAACATATTTCAAACATGTTATAGTTGATGTCACTGTCACAAACTATGTGTTACACAACCTTATTATTGCATTAAATATGATTTAAACAAACAGTGACAGGATAAAAGCAGGTCCACAAGGTTTACAGAAAAGCTTAGAGACTGTTGAACATGAAGGAATAACCAAACGGCAAGATGATCAAGAGCTCTCACCAAGCTACAAACCAAATGACGGAACACAGCCCAGCAGCAACACAGATCAGAGAGCAAAACACACGTCCTCTCACAGTGGAGCTGCTCACTCTGTCATCCAAAATACAACACCACTGAGGATAACATGCTGACCGAAATCAGAGGGATTCAGCTTCCTCTGCGCAATGTTACAACCAATGCTAGTTTTAACAAATAAATGAAAACAGCTCACTCACCATTAGTTGAAGTCAGACAGCCAGTGTTGGAGTTGAAGCGTCTCAGGATGTCAGGAGTTTTCTGATCTTGCAGGTAAGGTCTCTCACAGGCCATCAGCTGTTTCTGACGCTCCTGGATGTTGTATCAAAACTGCAGAAACAAATGCAGAATGTGTCTTGAAAGTGGCTTTTATTCCATCCAGACATTGTCCAATACTTAAAGTGAGGGCTTAAAAGTTCTGAATAAACCGATGGATGCTGTAAGTATAACATATCCATGCTGCAGTCTGGGGGGGCCTATGGAAAGGTAGCAGCACCTGTCCGACATCAACTTCAGTAGCCGCTGATGCGTTAGCTTCATCGGGCAGCATGTCCACTGATTCCATTAATTAGCACTCCACTTGGGCCTGAATGTTCCCATATTTGCGTCAACTTCTGTAAGTACTTTGACCTTTGACTTTGACTTTGACCTTCGAGAAGAAAGGCAGCTATAATGGTATCAGATTTTGGAAGTTAGCTAGCTTAGTAAACTAGCCGTAGCATCACGCTTGTGTTCCGAAGCCACGCCCCCTAGTTTGGCAGGTGGTTAAGCTGTTGCTAAGCAACTTAACGCAACCTTCCGTTTTTAAAGATGGCGGACGATCTTAAAGGGATAGTGGAAATGGAACCTCAAATAGTTTCGTTTTAACTTATATACAAGCATAATTACGTGCCAAAACAATCACACCTGATTACAAAAATATAATAATTGCCTTACGCATGTTAGAAGCACTTTATTGCAGCTTCCCCGAAATTTTTAGAAACGAAATGTTCGACTCAGCCAAACCGGAAGTGACGAAAACTTAGGAAGACGATACGATAACAAACCATGGCGTCTATGCAGAATGAACGTGGAAGGGCAAATATACCAGACAAAGAAGAAGGATTGTACGAGGTATCCAGTGATGATAGCGAGTCAGAAACATCCTCTCGGCTTTCCTACGACAATGTCGTTTTAGGAACTGAATCTGAATCCGGTTCAGTAAGCGACGATGGTGACAATATTGAGCCAGACGATGGACCATTACGTCCTTATTTGTTCGAGCCCGAGCCCGAGGTGATGGTTCACGGCATGGGCAATGGCGAGGATGACCAGGACCAGGCGCCAGATGATGCACCCCTACGCACAAATAATCTTGACTGGTAGGTCCCTAAGCATAGCTCACGCATCTTAAGATCACCTGTAGCCTTTACAAATATTAATCATTGTTAACCAGTTAATCCCGAAGGTCCCCCCAGTGGACCCCTCCCACCGTTTTTTTTCTCTCACATGTCTCAGGGCTTCTTAACATTTATGAAACTATTAATGTTTCATACCCTTTTAAAGGTAAGAAACTCCGCTAACTGACAATAAGAACAATTGTTAGCTAGAAAAAACACAAGCGTAATACCAAGCCTTTGAATTAGCATTGAGCGAAACAATGCTAACTAATGCTAACGCTTTTTTACACACAACACACGGTAGAAATGCCCTTATTACTATCTTAACTGCACAAACAAGATATACGATTTAAAGCTGAGACTCCACAGATTCCACACATGTAATGTCATCACTGTAAGACCTCGAATTCCTATAGCTATCAGCCAGAAAAGAGAAAGTAAACAACATCCGGTTCCAAAAATATTACAATAATTACGTCTTACCTTTTTTGATTTGTGATCAAAAGTTGTGTTCAACGGAATAAAAACGCATCTCAAGGTTAATCCAATGTCGTTGTGTCACGTAGAATTTTTTACTGATAATCAATCATCATATTTATGGCAATATACTCGGCTATTCACATGCAAATGCTATTGAATGTCCGCCATTGTTTGTGCCCGTCTTCCTATGCTCTCGTCATCACCCGAAGATTCCCGACGATTCCCGAAGTATTTCGTTTCATTGAGAGGGCGCAGTAAAATTGAAAATAAAATGAAACTAGGCGCATGAAATTAAAAAAAGTTGTTTATTATGCTTATTTTTAATAAAAATACATAAGTTAAACCCAAAATTCGCGGATTTCCACTATCCCTTTAATGTTTTGAAGGGGCTATGAGCTTACATCCATGGCTATGAGGCTAAATGATACTAGTACAAATGAAGGGGAACAAATTAAGTAGCCTAATGGATTTATGATGATGATGATCAAGTTTAAACCTTTTCTGGTAAAAGACAAAAATAAGGACAATCCTACAAACATTACATGAGGAGAGTAACATGGATTACAATCATCATGAGACAATGTCAAAGACCCCTTAATATAAGCCTACAAGTCTACAACTGATCTGAAATTAACCTCCATTATTGATTTTAATGCTTTAGTCTAAACTTCGTTGAGCCCTGTTTCTCTGATTTGATGGTAACAATTCTTATTCAATGTTTAGGACTTGGTTGTGGTCTCAATCTGTGAGCATATTTTCATTTGTGGTAGAAAAACACTTGCCATGTAGAAGGCTACTATAACACAAGAAAGGAATGTTACGTTTTTCCTTCTGCAGACATATTGAATATAGTCTTTTCAAGATAGCAGATGGCCTATCGTTACACCAAAATATTTGTATAAAATACCTGCTTGATTTGTATATTATGGATAACAATACAAGCTTTATGTGAGTCAGATGGTGATGACAATAGCATTTCTATGTGATGCAATGCATTACTTACACACCAGATGCCTTATATTTAATTATACTGCCTATAATAAGTGATAATGAAAGGAGATGTGTCAGAATCTGTCTCTTTCTTCTCCTCAGCTAAACAGTTTACAAATTCTGATATGGTAACAAAATGTGCGCGTCTCGTCATTGTGATTTGGGCAAACATAAAATGATGTTATTTTATTAGCCTTCAACAACTGCAGCTCCTGAGGCATTGACTGCATGCCAAGGCCTCATTATAAAGCATCAGATCAATTGGAAACATATATTAATATTGTAAGTATATATTCGGTCGATATATAGCAAGAAACTGACACGTTTATTTTTATATTGTACAATATACTGCTCATTACACAGCTTGGCAACATCTCTCTAACCTCATAATCAAAGGTTATTATCAGGAATGTTTGATGCTATTGGTTTAAGTTTGAAATGTGAAACAGCTGATATTTTGTTATTAGATTTTTAATATTTCAAATTGCTTTATTATATTGTTTCAGCCTTGGAAAACCAACATTTGTCAGGCTATAATATTAGCATTTCAATGTTTTTACTTTATTTTGCAAGGGTGCAGACATTCATTTCATTTATGCCCTTGGGGTGCTGACACCGCCAGGGCCACATTGTAACCACATATCCATATCTCCAGCCTCCTAATACATTCAATCTATAGTCATTGCTCAAGTCAGATTTTCTTTTTCTTTTTGTGGAGGGGAGGGGGGGGGGAGTCCAAAGGGAATAACTTTTAATTCGAATACTATTTTCACTTTTAACCCATCCTCATTACTCTTGTTTTTCTATATGCATTTCATATTTGGATGAAAATCAACACCAGACCATAATGATGAGAAAAACAGATATCATTGCACAACTCTTGCTTTATGAATTATAATGAGGACAGTGGGTGTAGTGGTGACATACTATATAGGAAAACATCTACATCATTAGAGTTGGGAAATATAAACAATAATGAATTTTCCTCATACCTTTTTAAATGACTCAACCTGTCTTAAAAGGGTTCAGCGCCTGGCATGCAGTGAAGTTCCCTAATGTTGTAGATCAATTAGATTGTGAAAGCTTTAATGATGCTCTTCATATCTTCTCCTTGTCATCTATATTTCACTTTCTTACTTCAGGTTGTTAAAAATAGGTTAAAGGGAATATTCGATGTGACTGTCACTTGCATGAATGTGCCATTGCCAGGTTAGATTTGTCATGCTGTGTCTCCCTCTTTCACTTTACAACGTCTTTCTTTCTGTCACAATCTCTGACCCTGGCTGCCTTTCTCCAACCCGTCCTGCTCTGCCGCTCTGCCGACCTGCGATTCAGCATATCAAGGAGCAGTGGCTGGTTCAGAGAGTTCCAAGACCCCCAGTAAGTTTCAAGCCAGGGCCTAATGAAAAGTGTCCCCTTTCATTTTCTCTGCCACCCTTTGAAGTTGTTCCCTCCACAAGAAACGAGGATGGGTGGGTGGGAGGGTGCTGGGTGAGCTTTGAAGACTGTGACAAGACACTCTGCTCTGCTGTCCGTGCTGCACCTCATAAAGAAAGATATGGATGCTTTGAAAGGGAGCAGCGAGTTGACTGTGTTTGTTTGTTGCGGGAGTTTTTGTTTTGTTTTGATGTGGGTGGGTGTGTATGCTCATGCAAGAAAGTATAGTTGCGGAAAAAGTTGCTTCCAATTGAACACAAATTACATTCATGTATATTTCATGTCAGGGACAGCAGGGGATTTATTATGTTTTGCTCCAAGCTGTGGAGCATCTTATATTCGGCCTAGATTAGTCTCCACCATGTGTGGGGATCATAACATTTTCAGCCACATATGATCGGATCAGGCTAGCTGCTCCTGACTGCTCATTCGGCCTATAGAGAGTTTATTACCAGAAAAACAAAAGCATTGGTCACTTGTTCACAAGCCTAAATAAACTCTCTTCCTATAAAGGACCTCTTGTGGCAATGTGAGTTATGACTGTTTTCTATCAGATGAAAAAGTAGAAAAGCATGATAATATTTTGTGAAATCTCTTAGGGAGGAAGTCAAGGTCAATTCATTGGTGACCATGATGTCTTTAACTAAGTCATTCTTCTTTTCACAGTGATTACAATAATGTCCTTCTCTTAAAAAGTTAGTTTCAACCCGAATAACCATATTTACTTGACCGTAATAAAACGATTGATAGAAGTCGGCTATAGTCCATTTTACTTTAAAATTATTTAAAGAAGTGATAAAACTGCCAAAGTAAAGTCTATCTTACCAGGATAAATGCATTCAAAGATCATTATTCCCTATCCAGGGATGTTCCTATATTGCTAATAGAGTTCTATGTACAGGAGTGCTATTGATTGAAATACGTTCTCCACGCCCAAGAATGAAGTGGCAATCACTGTTGAAGCTTCATCAGCATGTAATGGCCTCCTTGCTGCGTGAATGTGCTGAAAGATTGCATTCTGCCATTTTGATGCAACTGATACTTGATTATCTCATATGGAGCAGATCATATTTTCCTACATCAATCACTCAATAAACAAAAGCGCCACTGTGGTGAATTTATCATTATCACCATTGTGCTGATGGAAGGTTTGAATGATGGGAAACAAAGAAGCAAGCAGTGCCTTTTTGATGAAGCTACGCACATCCCTGTGATAGCCTTCTAAGCAGAACAAGATCATTATAAGAAACCTGTCACAGTCTCTCAGATGTATCCCTGACAATGAAACAAGACCTCATGGCACACCTTTCTCTCACTTCCAGATTGTATTGCTTCAGTGCTTTGACAAGTGATAGGAGAATGGCAGCTGAAGGAATAACTTGTCAGGAATTGTTCTCTTTCAGAAAAGAAAAAAGTCTCAGCTTCTTTTTCTGCTGTCTTCTTCCAGGGGATGGATTCCTGGCTGTCCTTGGTTTCTTTGCACTTAAATAAAGCTGTGGGTCTTTGACTTTTATGGCTGTGCAAGTCAGCATCAGATGGTCTTTTTAGTTCATCAAGATCCTCTTTGTTCAGTTCTCTCAATGCCCCTATAGTGAGAGAAAAGTAGGAAGGAGGAACTTGCAGAGTAAAGGAAAAACTGCATAAACTGGTATACGTAATAGAGCTTTTTTGACAGAGATTATAGAATGAGCTCTCATTTCTTATCTTCAGGAATCAGCAGTCTTACTGCCTGCCACGTACCTGCTGCACATCCTCTGCTTCCTGACACCTCCACTCTTTATCCGTCATATTTTCTTTCCTTTGTAGTGGCCCTAAGGAAGTCTGTGCATCAACACAAAATGATTACTGTGTGGAATATGTGTGTTTTTTTTGCTGCAATAAGGCTTTATCTCGAGTGGGCCCACTTTTCGATATCAATATTTATCTCGAGTGTGTGTATAAAAATGAAAAGTGCTTCTCTCCTTATCATTTTTCTTTCATAGCCCTCATTTTTACTCTTCTTCTATCTTACTGATTTGTCTGCCAGTTTTACAGCTTTTCACCTCTCTTCCACCCCTATATAATAGTGAAATATGAGAATGCAGCCCAGTTTGGCAGCACCTTCCCCCCAACATGGGTGAGAGAGAATGAGAGCTTCACGCTGCAATGCACCTTCACCTCGGCTCTGCTGCCCTCCCTGCAGGATGTCACATGGTTTAGAGATGGTGAGTATAAAGATGAACCAGATGTTGGACTATATAAATGCATGCTTAAGGTCTTCAGCTAATTGTTTGTCATTTCTTAGGCATACAGCTGCATCCGTCGAACACTGTAGACATTAAAACAGCTGATGACAACGCCTCCATCACTTTTAAGGCTGCACACAAGGAACTTGAAGGTGTTTACACCATCCAACTGAGGACCTGTGATGAAATCCAGGAACACAGTGCTTTCGTCTATATCGAAGGTGAGGACCAGCTTTATATAGTAACTGCTTTTTCTTTGGTCCTTTAATAATAATGTAGCTTTGGTGTCAGGTGGTAATGTTACTGTGTTTGACAATAAAGGGGTTAGGATCGTGACAGTAAAGACGCAACCTTGAACCCCGGAAAATAAAATTAAAAACTCTACACAATCTCTCTGAATAGCTTTTTCCAGCTATCATGAAAACTGTGACATGGCTAAAAGTCATGGAGAAGGCTAGTAAGTTAAAGTAGAACTGGTTCGGTCAACATTAAAGAACATTTTTTCAACATTTAGGGAAATATGCTTATCCTCTTTCTGGAAAAGAGTTGAATAAGAAGACCAATACTCTCAATACTTTGACGTAGCTTTGCACCAAGACTGGAAACAATGGGAAAAAGATAGCGCTCTGTAAAATGTGTATGTCTCCCAGCATTTTTAAAGGTAATTTAATAGCGTTTTGATAAACAATGTTATATCTGACATGTTGATTTAGAAATATAGGCTGAAAACAAAGTGTACAACACACACATTGGGTTGAGTTGTCTTGTCATCACAGACAGCCCAAAAAGTTAAACAACTCCTTTTAAGATGTTTTTTATATACATTTGCTCTGGGCAGGCTTGTAAATCTCTGTCACACCAGATTACATCAGAAACCATTCAAACGCTAAATGGTGTTTCTAAACAGCCTGCAAAGCTGCTTTTCAAATGGTCTCATTCTGAAAAAGCTGACAGAAGCTTTTGAGTGACCTCCAGACCCTTGTGTACAAAAATAACTGTGTTTTTGTAGGATGGAGTCATCATTTGTTGTCCCAAGCTGGATAAATTGTGTTTTGACTGAAACCAACTCAAAACACCATTTGTACTAAACAGAAATTGGTGCTACTTTCATTTCCTTTCAGAAAATGTTCATAGGGGGGAAATTGCTCAATCAATCAAGCTGTTCCTCTGAAAAGGGCTTGTTAACTTTGTTCAATGAAACTATATATTCTTCACAGACTGCTATTTTCTCTCCAACATTGTTTCCCGCATGCAAACGACCCACACTTGACTCATCAAACATTTGAAATGTGTCTGGGCAGCTCTGCAAGGCGGCTTGGCATCTTTCAATATAATTCCAGTGCTTACTCTTGTATGTATTGCACCTTAACCACCGCAGTCAGAGTATAATGTGCACTGAATTATTCATGAACTTGTTGAACTCAGTACCCATACATCAAAGATTAGCATATTCTCGTCCAAACATACAGATGTACAGTATGCAAACACTTTAATGCAAGGTGAATATTCCTCCAAAGCTAAATGGTCTATCCCTCTCTTAAGGATGTTTTTTACCAGAACTAGGGTTACTAATTAGGGAATCAGCAATCTCTCCTGCTTGTGGGTTTTCTCCTTCATTCATCTGTCATATTTGCATTACAAAAAGGGCAGTACAGGAGAGAAACAACAAATGAGAGATAAAGAGGAAAGGAGGCCAATGCAAATTTAAAACAAGAAATAGATGTGCTTGATGTTGTCTTTAGTCTTTTGTTAAAAAAAGATCTATTTGCAGCCTCAAGGACAGGTTTCTTCAATCCGCTTAGCAGAATTTCCTCATTTATTTTTCTGCCTTCTCTCCGTCTCTTCACATCCGCTGGTTGTGATTGCCTAGAATGTATAGAGTAACGTATGTTAATATACATCCTACGGCCTTAGCCATCACTTCTCAAATAATGTATGGCAGACATGAGCTAGAATACCTTATATATAAATATTTCTAAACTGACATTTTCCTCTCATCATCTGCTGTTGTTGTTGCATCTTCTGCTTCCATTTTCCCTTCAAGTTTCTCATAACTCTTTGCCAAACTTTTCTCTTTGTCCCCTTGGACTCATTCATCTTTTTCCCGCAATATATCTACAGTCTCTTCCTCAGTTTGTCTCCTCTTACCGTCTGTCCTCCTCGTGCAGATGCATCAGCGGCGGTGCTGGGAGGCCCCGCCTCTCCTCTGGCCGTCCAGGTGTCTGATGTCAACAAGGACTACGTCTTCCTGACCTGGCAGCCCCCCAGTGCTGATGGTGCCTCACCTGTGGAGGGTTACTATGTGGAGAGGTGAGGATGGACTGGAAACTCTGAATTTGTCTGGGAACGTTTTTAGGACTTCAATCTGATTATCGAGCTAGTTGTGAAGTTATCAAATTACGTATGTTATTCACCTTTTGTGATCTCCAAGGGTGAATACTGACTTTAAATCTGAACCACTTACAGCTCCTGTAACATTTGGAGAATGAGAAGGGTTTGGATCAGCAGAGACATTGAAAAAAAGGAGAGTTGAAAATATAATAATCATCATTAGCAACTCATGATAATTTTAAACGCAAAGATATTTACTTTGCTTACACAAGACAAAACAGGTGGAAAATTGGATTGAGGTATTAGTCTCTATTCAATTTATTTAGCTGGTGGATGGATGTATTGGTGCCTCGTTAGAAAACAAAGAGGCCCTTTGGTAAATTGAGAGAATAGATGAAAAGTTTTCCCAATGGATTTGATTTTCCATTCCCATCTTTTGGATTGAACACACATTGATTTTTTTCTCCATTAAGAAAGTCTTATTTTAGATTGAATCAGCCATTTCCTGTATTGGAAGTCAACAATTCGACTTACAGTAATACTATCTTTGCTTTGCGTGCTGCCGGTAAGGAAATTAGAGAGGGGCAGATGAAGATGGCGGAAGTGGCACAGTTCACATGAGATGGATGGTGTACACTTTATCTGCCTTCGACACTATGTCAACAGCAGAGTCAAAGACTCCTGCAGGAGAACAGATGCTGCACTTATCACCAATCAATCAGGATAGTCCTGTACACGCCTGTACTGATGTGTGTGTATGTGTGTGTCTTTGAGTGTGTCTGTTTGTTGATGAAGAGAAACTAAAGTTATTTACTGTGTGCATTTTCACGTTTCTGTTCAATTGAACTCATATTTTTGTGTTTTGTGGTTGAGCACTTTTTCAGTATAAAAAATACAATTCTTGAATGGTAATGGTAATTTTTGGTTTTTGGTTGAGCCGAGGAGAATGTAAGATACCTCCCAGTTCCCTAGCAACCACCCTATGGTTAGAAAACGGCACTATTTTCAGTCTTTGTTTATTGCAAGTGGCCACAATTTGTCGTTGGCTCTCTATCTGAGCCCTTATTTTACTTTTTAAATCATTTTTATTTTGCTTTTGAGGACCATTCTTTTTCAAGTGATGTTCTTTGGTCACAACGAGGGTCTAAGTGAGAAGGTTCTGACTCAGATATGTTGTTGTTGTTGCAAAACATAATTGTCTTCAATTGTCGTTTTTATAATGTTACACCTTTCAGACTGCACCCAAAGTTGTTCATACATTTTGTTATTTGTTTAGCTCTCACTCAAATGTCTTTCTTACTATCTTTTTCTCTCCCTTACGTCTTTCAGATGTGTTGTCGGGGAAGGGGAGTGGGTGCGCTGCAATGTAAATATTCAGAAAATGTGCTACTACCCTGTGTCCGGGCTAAAGGAGGGAACTCTGTACCAGTTCAGAGTTCGTGCTGTGAACCAGGCTGGAGCAGGACGCCCCTCCAAGGCCACCGAGCCCGTCCTCACTGCAGACCCGCTGCAACACACCAGGACCACAGGTAACACACTGACGGACAAATTGACAAATCTACAAAAAGACATCACAGCTCTAGAAAAACCAAGCAGTGAAAAACACAGCTTCATTTGTAGAAGTTGAACACACCAACCACAGGATTTTGTGATTGTAAATATGGGATTTGAGCATCCATCTAAAAACTGAACGACTCTTAAGTCAATATGCTGATCAGGAAATCTCCACAAATGTATTCAACAGCATCTAGTAGCCACGTACGCTTTTCAATCAGAAGAGCTATTAAAAACAGAGTCGTGCTTATCCTGTGACCTACACTGTGTACTTTAAAAGTCACAAGGAAAAAGTGAGTGAAATAAACAGAGGAAATATCCCAACTGTAACGTGACATTAAAAGGCACCTCTTTTTTTGCCTCATTTCTACCTGTTCATATTCACATGCAAGGTACAGTGGCAGTCTATTTTATTAATGCTCATCCTCAATGATTTATTCGTGGCACATCTGAGAATATGAATGAATATGTGGTGCAGTAAAAGTGCAGCGTGGCCTGCTGTTAATCCCCACGATTTGATTCTACACATGGGTCCATGAAGCGCTGATGATGCAGAATAACAATTGCCAAAACTCTCCAATCAATGAGTTACCTGTCAGTCCACATGACTTCATTTTTTCTGAACTGAATCACATGTAAGGTGGTCCTTGACAAACGCTCTCAAATGTGTTTCCGTTCTAAACATCGTACATGAATTGGGTCGAGATCTGGTGACCGTGAAGGTCAAAGCACACCATTCACATCTCTTTCATCTCGTCAAACTATCCAATGACCCCTGGTGACCTGTTTTGAAGCATGTACATTCATTATTTCCCCCCCCCACTCATTTATTCAAGGTTTCTAATATGTCACCCCGTTGCATCTGCCACTACAAAGAGCATCAGCGATGTGTGAGTGACTCATCCCTGCTGTTAGTTCACCTCATCTGCCTCTGTTGCAGTGGTTACACCTGCAGAGCTGTTGGCACTACCAGAGAAAAGCAGATGTGTGTAGATGTGGGTCATCTTTCATAAAGCCTGAAGGTTCCTGCAGCAATTGATTCGTAATTGCGTCCTTGAGTGGACTACTAGTAAAGATGACTTTCAAGGTATTTAGGTTTTAAATACTTTATAAAGTCAGGGGATGAGAACGATCAAAAGGGGTGTAACGAAGGAGGGCATTGTGTGTGTGTGTGTGTGTGTGTGTGTGTGTGTGTGTGTGTGTGTGTGTGTGTGTGTGTGTGTGTGTGTGTGTGTGTGTGTGTGTGTGTGTGTGTGTGTGTGTGTGTGTGTGTGTGTGTGTGTGTGTGTGTGTGTGTGTGTGTGTGTGTGTGTGTGTGTGTGTGTGTGTGTGTGTGTGTGTGTGTGTGTGTGTGTGTGTGGTGTGTGTGTGTGTGTGTGTGTGTGTGTGTGACATCTGACCAGATGTGCTCTGGTCAGATGCTGCGGATCATTAAGCGCGATGAAGGCCAGGCAGAAGGTTGACTTGCCTCCAGCCGCTCTCCATCCTTCCATGTCGCTCTCTCTCTCCTCATCTCTGGCTCTCGTACCGATGGCTGCTCCTCTAACATTACCACTAATAGTGTTATCATGGGCTCTCGTATAATTTCATTACCCTGATATGACCATCTTCTTTATTCCCTCTTTCCCCAACCTCTCTCTTTCTGCCACCCTCCATCTCTCAGTGGTCAAAGTGGACAGAGGGAGGACGATCACCGTTACAAAAGATGAACTGGAAGGTGAGAAAGGCATTTATTTGATTTCACCGTGTATAATTGTGTCATAAAAAGATGCCCCTTTTGATCACGCTTTATTCTAAACAGCATCTTTGGCCTCCACGCCTGAAAGCTGCCTCTTGTTCATGGCTTAATGCATTTGTATATGATATCATTAACAACAGGCTAGAATAACTGTTTGGTTGAGCATTGCTTCCATTCCATATAGAGAAGAGAATGATCAGTTCTTGGCTGTGCACAATGGCTCAAGGTGGTGCGAAGGCTGTGAAGAGGACTGGTAACCTTGGCAGTGTAACTCACAGATAGAGATGGAGGAGGAGGAGGAGGAGTATGAGGAGGAGGAGGATCTGTATTTTTATTCTTATTCTTCTTCTCTTTCGTCTTCTTCTCTTCTTCTTCTTCTTCTTCTGTCTCTTTTCTTCTTCTTCTTTTCTTTTTTCTTGCTTTCCTTCTTCTTCTTTTTGGTCCTTGCTTTTCTTCTTCTTCTTCTTGTTTTTGAACAGACTGACAAAGTAAATGTCACAGTCACTTCTACTGTAAATAGAGCGTGTGTGCATTAGGTTACATTCTATCAAACTTGTGGTATTTGTCCATCAAACTTGGTTATTGCAATACACATAACTTCACACACACTTATAATACTAATAAATCCCTTTTTTATTAGGTTACTCTTGCAGTATACAAATAAAAAATCCCAAAGACATTTACATTCACAGCATGTCTGAAACTAAATTACAATTGTTTCATTATTTTGGTTCTGTATTCAATCACATTGTATTTAAAAGTAAACAATTATGAGGTTACAGTACCAACTTTAAACTTTGATTTGAGAAGAAAAAGATCCTAAACAATTTCCTCTCTTTGACCCTAAATCTCTTCTGGGTTTGGTTTCTGTAGCTGCATGTTTATGATCATCGTCCTTCTGTCAAAACAGTGTAAATGTAAACAACTGCCCTCCCCTTAAGATGAAACTTCAGCACTTTAACTTCATAGTCACGGTTTCATGTCAACGGCCTGATGCAAAGCTACTCCATTGAACACACACACACACACACACACACACACACACACACACACACACACACAATTTTCTCTCTGATCCACACTGTAGCTCTTCAGGGGAATCTAACAAAGAGACTCACAGAGAGACAGTCAGACACATTTGGGACACTTTTAGCCAAATCTGAACACTTCCATTGTCCTTGAGTCACTTGGGGAGACATTAAAAGTGTGCTGACTCAAGACTTTTCTATCCATGTTATCCTTATACTAGTGTATAAGGGATGGAGGTGAAATTTGGGGCAGCAAGGTATATCTCTCTCATTGTGTGGCTGACTCAAATCCATCAGACAAAGCATTATATTTCCTCATGCAAAGCACTTTTTGGACATTCTCACTGAGCTTGTTATAACTTCTCTCCTCCTCCTCCTCCTCCTCCTCCTCCTCCTCCTCCTCCTCCTCCTCCTCCTCCTCCTCCTCCTCCTCCTCCCTCCTCCTCCTCCTCCTCCTCCTCCTCCTCCTCCACAGGTGAGGTCAAAGCTCCGTTCCCTCCAACAAACGTCCACGCCTGCGAGGTGAGCGACACCTACGTGGTGTTGAGCTGGAGCGAACCTGAACCCAGAGGCAAGGAACCTCTCACCTTCTACGTGGAGCGGGTCAGTCTTTATACACACACACACACACACACACACACACACACCTCAGATCCTTATGCTTTCTTGCCGAACTCCATGACGTTTCTCTTTGCCAACATGTGCAGCAATAGTTCTTTTGACGTTTTTTCCTCAATCATTAAAGTGATGCAATATTGGGGGGAAAGGGATGATGGAAATCAATGATATGAAGTTTTGATGGATCACAAAAGCTCCTTCACTTTCTCTTCAGGTCTAACAAAGCCTGAAAAGTTCTTAAAATAAAACTCAAAGGCAAGGTAATGCATTATTCATGTTGTAGGAAATCATATTAGCTGAATGATTGAAAAACGTTCAAAGACAGTTTTATAACAAATTACATTACATTATATTTAGCTGACGCTTTTATCCAAATCGACTTACAATAAGTGCGTTCGACCAACAAAATACAAACTTGAGGAAAACAGAATCATATAAGTACATCAGGTTTCATAGAGAAAAAACATTTCAAGTGCTACTCAACTGGCTTTAGATAAGCCAGTCCTTTATTAGTATATAAGTGCTTTGTTAATAGTTCTATCGCTCGAAGTGGAGTCGAAAGAGATGAGTTTTCAGTCTGCGCCGGAAGGTGTGTAAGCTATCTGCTGTCCTGATGTCAATGGGGAGCTCATTCCACCATCTTGGAGCCAGGACAGCAAACCCACGTGTTTTTGCTGATGGGAACTTGGGTCCCCTTCGCAGCGAGGGTGCAGCGAGCCGTTTGGTTGATGCAGAGCGGAGTGCACGTGCTGGGGTGTACGGTTTAACCATGTCCTGGATGTAGGAAGGGCCAGATCCATTCGCAGCATGGTAAGCAAGTACCATTGTCTTGAAGTGGATTCTAGCAGTTATCGGAAGCCAGTGAAGGGAGCGGAGGAGCGGAGTGGTGTGGGAGAATTTAGGAAGGTTGAAGACCAGACGAGCCGCTGCATTCTGGATGAGCTGCAGAGGTCGGATGGCACATGTAGACCAGCCAGGAGGGAGTTGCAGTAGTCTAGGCGTGAGATGACGAGAGCCTGGACCAGAACCTGCGTCGCTTTCTGGGTCAGCTGGGGACGCATCCTCCTGATGTTGTAAAGCGTGTATCTGCAGCAACGGGTTGTAGCAGCGATGTTTGCAGTGAAGGACAGGTTGTTATCTAGGGTCACACCCAGATTCCTTGCAGTCTGAGTCGGGGAAACAACTGAGGTGCCAATGTTGATTGTTAGGTCAAGAGTGGGACAATCTTTTCCCGGAAGGAAGAGCAGCTCAGTCTTGTCAAGGTTGAGCTTGAGGTGATGATCAGACATCCACTGAGAGATGTCACCTAGACAAGCAGAGATGCGTGCGACGACCTGGGTCTCTGAGCGGGGAAAGGACAGAATTAATTGGGTGTCGTCAGCGTAGCAGTGGTATGAAAAACCATGCGGGCTAATGACTGATCCGAGCGGGTTTGTGTACAAGGAGAAGAGGAGGGGACCAAGAACAGAGCCCTGAGGGACCCCTGTAGTTAATTGACAAGGGTCGGACTCGGACCCTCTCCAAGTTACCCTGTAGGTGCGGTCTTTGAGGTATGAGGTGAGGAGGGAAAGTGCAGAGCCTGAAACTCCAAGTTCTTGGAGAGTGCGAAGGAGATTCTGATGATACACCGTGTCGAATGCAGCAGACAGGTCCAACAGGATGATGACAGAGGAGAGGGAGGCTGCTTTAGCAGTGTGCAGTTCCTCAGTGACAGCAAGGAGAGCAGTTTCTGTGGAGTGACCTGCCTTGAAACCAGACTGGTGCGGATCCAGAAGGTTGTTCTGATGGAGATAACAGGAGAGTTGTTTAAAGACAGCGCGTTATAGTGTTTTAGACAGGAACGGGAGGAGAGAGACAGGCCTGTAGTTTATAACATCAGACGGGTTGAGAGTGGGTTTCTTTAGGAGAGGGTTTACTCTTGCCTCCTTGAGACTGTTTGGAAAGTGACCAGAAGTGTTGATGAAATGGGTGAGAAACGGTAGAATATCAGGAGCGATAGTCTGAAGGAGGTTTGAAGGGATAGGGTCCAGAGGACAGGTGGTAGGGCGGGCAGAGGTAATGAGGGTAAGAACCTCACTTGGAGAGAGAGGGGAAAAGGAGGTCAGTGTGTGGGTGAAAGTAGGGTCTGGTGACCCAGCGGTGAGTAGAGGTGAGTCAGAAAAAGAAGAGCGAATATCATCAACCTTTTTTTCAAAGTGGTTAACAAAGTCGCTTGACAGAAGGGAGGAGGGGGAAGGGGCTTTGGGGGGGTCCAGAAGGGAGGAGAAGATGGAAAATAGTTTTTTGGGATTGGAATAGGAAGATTGGATCTTATCTTGAAAGAAAGTGCTTTTTGCCTGAGAGATCGAAGCAGAGAAAGAGGAGAGGAGAGCCTGATAGGTTAGGAGGTCGTCACAGTGTTTGGATTCCCACCATTTCCGCTCTGCTGCCCGAAGGACGATTCTATTAGCACGCAGTGCATCATTTAGCCAGGGAGCAGGAGGGGACTGACGAGCCTGCCGAGATGTGAGAGGACAGAGAGAGTCCAGAGAGGATGAGAGAGTAGAGAGGAGAGTTTCTGCAGCAGAGTTTAGAGGCAGTAGTTGGAACGAGTCCGAGAAAGGGAGGGCTGAGAGCACCGATGAGGCAAAGGTAGAGGGGGAGAGGGGGGAGAGGGAACGAAGGTTACGGCGGACAGGTGCAGGATGAGAAGAGATTAGTTTGTTATGTTTGGAAAGGGGTAGAGAGAATGAAATGAAGAAGTGATCGGATGTGTGGAGCGGGTTTACAGAGAGGTTAAAAGTAGTACAGTTCCTTGAGAATATGAGATCAAGGACATTGCCAGCTTTATGAGTTGGTGGGGACGGAGACAGTGAGAAAGCAAAGGCGGTTAACAGAGATGTTAGTTCGTCTATCTTCCCTGTCTGGAGGTTGAAGTCTCCGAGAAGTACAGCGGGAGGACCAGTTTCAGGGATGTGTGAGAGGAGATGATCTAATTCCTCCATGAAGTCCCCCAAGGCTCCTGGTGGACGGTAGAGAACAACAATGGTTAATTGTATAGGATGGGTTACTGTGACGGCATGGAATTCAAAGGTGGAAGGAGTGAAGTTAGGTAGCTTGAAGAGGGAAAAGCTCAATTTGGGAGAGAACAGGAGACCAGTGCCACCTCCTCTGCCAGTGGGTCTGGGTGTATGGGAGAAGGAATATGCAGTGGAGAGAGCTGCTGGGGTGGATGTGTTGGATGGAGTAATCCACGTCTCAGTGAGAGCAAGGAAATCCAGAGACTGCAGGGAAGCGTAGCCAGAGATGAAGTCAGCCTTAGGAACAGCTGACTGGCAGTTCCACAGGCCGCCTGAAACTAGATGTTGGATCTCAGTGGAGCATGTGGTATAGACGAGAGCAGGCCGGTTATATCGATTACGAGATACACGGGGCCAGTGATAATTGCGAGAAGACACATAAACAGGAATGGAGAAAATACACATGATTATAGCATGAGGGGCTAAACAACCAAATAAAATAAAACACCAGCGATACTTTAGCTCAATCAAAGTAGGATTTGCCTCCCTCGTGACTCCCGCAGGACTCCAATGTCTTTGTCAGTCTTACTCCCGCAGGACTCCAATGTCTTTGTCAGTCTTAGCCTGTCTGACGCTGAAGCTGACGCTCCAGGAGAGAGCTACCTAAAATGGACACCTGATTGCTGAGTTCTCACAGCTGTGGGGCCACGTCCCTTTAATTAGTTAACTCTCTGCAGCTGGTGGCCCTCAAAAGGAAATCTAGACTGGCTCCCTCCTGACTTGTTATTGTATTTTAAGTGGCCCAATGGTTTTACAATTACATTAAACCCCAAGTTATAA